CAGGGTATACCCGGGTTTTTAAAACCATACCTCTTATCTCCAGGTATAGCGGTTTTAAAACCATACCTCTTCTCTCCAGGGTATAGCCGGTAGTTTAACCAGCTTTCCTAGGTATAGCCGGTCTTTAAACCTCCTCTCTCTCTCCGGTTAAGCGGTATAACCATACTCTTCTTCCGGGTATACCGTTTACAGAGTGCCAAGGAGCGCGAATCAATAACGGATGATAACTTCAGTAGTATAGTGAAGGCTGTGATGTGGGGGAGAATGTCTACGACGCATCTCCAAGTTCCTCCAGTTCCAGCTGAACTGTCAACGTGGTGGCTGTCATAGTGGCCTCACTGGGGCCTGCATCACACAGGTAACACACACACACCACACACACTCTCACAACACAAACACCACACACACACACACACACACACACAACACACACACACACACAACCACACACACACACACACACACACACACAACCACAGCACACACACACCCCCACACACACAACACACACACACAAAACTGCACAACTCAACATTGTGCACGTCAGTCTTCACACATCTCCTACAACACTCTCACCCCCCCCCCCTCCCAGGGCTTTTCTGAAACATCCCAATTGAACCTTCTCACTATACCCCCCCCTTCCCTAGCAACCCAAACCCAGAGTTCCTGGTTCCTATCGGATAACCTTGGGCCTCTACACCCTATCACAACCTACGATGGAAGACCTTTGGGTACGGATCCCCCAGTCATCATAACCTTCATCTTCCTTGATAGGAAAACATCGGCAAAGCTAACCACTCATCAAAACATACCTTATAGACCACCATACACGCGCTCCAAAATCACGCCAACACTCTCCTTCTTAAGAACTTCTCCTTCTCCTCGTGTCGCTTGCCATCCTTCCCTTTAAAGAAGCGCGTCCGGGTCGCGGTAAGAGCCTATAGCGCCTAGCTCCAAGGGGGCCCCAGCTCCCAGCCGCTAGCATCCTACCGACCGTATCTCCTCTCCTCTTATCCCCTGCCCCCCTCCTACGTGCTCAAGCACGAGAATCGCTGAAGGACTAAGGCGAGACCGGAAGAGCAGAAGAAGGACACTAACGGCAGAAGAGAAGGAAGCCACGAGAAGTGAACGCTAGCGCCGATATATCTCCCGCGTAAGCCTGAGAAGCCTCTCCAGTAAGCGAAGAATACGCAACCGGAGCCTCAATCAGCCCGTCCACGTCTCCTCTCAGTCGTCTCCGCGCCTCTCTCTCTAGCTCCCCCCAATGCCTCTCTCCTCCCCTCTCCTCTCCCCTCCTCTCCTTCCCCCCTCTCCTCTCCCCTCTCCTCTCTCCTTCCCCTCTCCTCTCTCCTTCCTTCTCCTCTCTCCATCCTTCCCATCCTCCCTCCTTTAGGAGAGCGTATCTTTAACATAGACAGTGGTCGTAATGCTCCACTCCACTCCCCTCCGTCAGAACACTACACCATCATTTTCAACACCTTCGTCCTCATGCAGCTCTTTAATGAGATCAACGCCAGGAAGATCCACGGGGAACGCAACGTCTTCGACGGAATCTTCGCCAACCCAATCTTCTGTTCCATAGTGTTCGGAACCTTAGTTATCCAGGTAGGCTGCACACACACACACACACAGACACACAGACACACAGACACACAGACACACAGACACACAGACACACAGACACACAGACAGAGACTGGCTGCACACACACAGACACACAGACACACAGACACACAGACAGAGACTGGCTGCACACACACAGACACACAGACACACAGACACACAGACACACAGACACACAGACACACAGACACACAGACACACAGACACACAGACACAGACAGAGACTGCCATGTGTTATCTAATGAAACGTTGAGCATTTGTAGCATTATGGGTAATACTGTGATGTTATATTATTCATGTTATTCCCTCGGTGGTGATATCATATGTTATCTAGTTCAGCTGTGATAGTAGTTATGTTATTTACATGATAGTCAATTGCCTGGATTAGGACCTGCGCCGCTTCCTGTGTGAGGTAGGGTCGTACTCTACGGATGTTGTAGAGAATGAACCTGCAGGGGGGGGGGGGGGAGCAGGGTCACACCAAGTTCTCTGCACTCTGGGAGGGGGACACTGTGGAGTTGTTAACCGTTATCTAGGTGATGATAGTCCAGTGGGGGGGCAAGCCATTCAGCTGTGATAGTAGTTATGTTAGCTAGGTGGTGATAGTCCAGTGGGGGGGCGAGCTATTCAGCTGTGATAGTAGTTATGTTATCTAGGTGGTGATAGTCCAGTGGGGGGGGCGAGCTATTCAGCTGTGATAGTAGTTATGTTATCTAGGTGGTGATAGTCCAGTGGGGGGGGGCGAGCCATTCAGCTGTGATAGTAGTTATGTTATCTAGGTGATGATAGTCCAGTGGGGGGGGGGGGGCATTCAGCTGGGATAGTAGTTATGTTATCTAGGTGATGATAGTCCAGTGGGGGGGGGGGGGGGGGGGGCATTCAGCTGTAATAGTAGTTATGTTATCTAGGTGATGATAGTCCAGTGGGGGGGCAAGCCATTCAGCTGTGATAGTAGTTATGTTAGCTAGGTGGTGATAGTCCAGTGGGGGGGCGAGCTATTCAGCTGTGATAGTAGTTATGTTATCTAGGTGGTGATAGTCCAGTGGGGGGGGCGAGCTATTCAGCTGTGATAGTAGTTATGTTATCTAGGTGGTGATAGTCCAGTGGGGGGGGCGAGCCATTCAGCTGTGATAGTAGTTATGTTATCTAGGTGATGATAGTCCAGTGGGGGGGGGGGGCATTCAGCTGGGATAGTAGTTATGTTATCTAGGTGATGATAGTCCAGTGGGGGGGGGGGGGGGGCATTCAGCTGTAATAGTAGTTATGTTATCTAGGTGATGATAGTCCAGTGGGGGGGCGAGCCATTCAGCTGTGATAGTAGTTATGTTATCTAGGTGGTGATAGTCCAGTGGGGGGGCGAGCCATTCAGCTGTGATAGTAGTTATGTTATCTAGGTGGTGATAGTCCAGTGGGGGGGCGAGCCATTCAGCTGTGATAGTAGTTATGTTATCTAGGTGATGATAGTCCAGTGGGGGGGGGGGGGCATTCAGCTGGGATAGTAGTTATGTTATCTAGGTGATGATAGTCCAGTGGGGGGGGGGGGGGGGCATTCAGCTGTAATAGTAGTTATGTTATCTAGGTGATGATAGTCCAGTGGGGGGGCGAGCCATTCAGCTGTGATAGTAGTTATGTTATCTAGGTGATGATAGTCCAGTGGGGGGGGGGGGCATTCAGCTGGGATAGTAGTTATGTTATCTAGGTGATGATAGTCCAGTGGGGGGGCGAGCCATTCAGCTGTGATAGTAGTTATGTTATCTAGGTGGTGATAGTCCAGTGGGGGGGCGAGCCATTCAGCTGTGATAGTAGTTATGTTATCTAGGTGATGATAGTCCAGTGGGGGGGGGCGAGCCATTCAGCTGTGATAGTAGTTATGTTATCTAGGTGGTGATAGTCCAGTGGGGGGGGCGAGCTATTCAGCTGTGATAGTAGTTATGTTATCTAGGTGGTGATAGTCCAGTGGGGGGGGGCGAGCCATTCAGCTGTGATAGTAGTTATGTTATCTAGGTGATGATAGTCCAGTGGGGGGGCAAGCCATTCAGCTGTGATAGTAGTTATGTTATCTAGGTGGTGATAGTCCAGTGGGGGGGCGAGCTATTCAGCTGTGATAGTAGTTATGTTATCTAGGTGGTGATAGTCCAGTGGGGGGGGCGAGCCATTCAGCTGTGATAGTAGTTATGTTATCTAGGTGGTGATAGTCCAGTGGGGGGGGCGAGCCATTCAGCTGGGATAGTAGTTATGTTATCTAGGTGGTGATAGTCCAGTGGGGGGGGCGAGCCATTCAGCTGTGATAGTAGTTATGTTATCTAGGTGGTGATAGTCCAGTGGGGGGGGGGCGAGCCATTCAGCTGTGATAGTAGTTATGTTATCTAGGTGATGATAGTCCAGTGGGGGGGGGGGGGGCATTCAGCTGGGATAGTAGTTATGTTATCTAGGTGATGATAGTCCAGTGGGGGGGGGGGGGGGCATTCAGCTGTAATAGTAGTTATGTTATCTAGGTGATGATAGTCCAGTGGGGGGGGGCGAGCCATTCAGCTGTGATAGTAGTTATGTTATCTAGGTGATGATAGTCCAGTGGGGGGGGGGGGCGAGCCATTCAGCTGTGATAGTAGTTATGTTATCTAGGTGGTGATAGTCCAGTGGGGGGGCGAGCCATTCAGCTGTGATAGTAGTTATGTTATCTAGGTGATGATAGTCCAGTGGGGGGGGGCGAGCCATTCAGCTGTGATAGTAGTTATGTTATCTAGGTGGTGATAGTCCAGTGGGGGGGGGGCGAGCTATTCAGCTGTGATAGTAGTTATGTTATCTAGGTGGTGATAGTCCAGTGGGGGGGGGCGAGCCATTCAGCTGTGATAGTAGTTATGTTATCTAGGTGGTGATAGTCCAGTGGGGGGGGGCGAGCCATTCAGCTGTGATAGTAGTTATGTTATCTAGGTGGTGATAGTCCAGTGGGGGGGGCGAGCCATTCAGCTGTGATAGTAGTTATGTTATCTAGGTGGTGATAGTCCAGTGGGGGGGCGAGCTATTCAGCTGTGATAGTAGTTATGTTATCTAGGTGGTGATAGTCCAGTGGGGGGGGCGAGCCATTCAGCTGTGATAGTAGTTATGTTATCTAGGTGGTGATAGTCCAGTGGGGGGGGCGAGCCATTCAGCTGTGATAGTAGTTATGTTATCTAGGTGGTGATAGTCCAGTGGGGGGGGCGAGCCATTCAGCTGTGATAGTAGTTATGTTATCTAGGTGGTGATAGTCCAGTGGGGGGGGGCGAGCTATTCAGCTGTGATAGTAGTTATGTTATCTAGGTGATGATAGTCCAGTGGGGGGGGACGAGCCATTCAGCTGTGATAGTAGTTATGTTATCTAGGTGGTGATAGTCCAGTGGGGGGGCGAGCCATTCAGCTGTGATAGTAGTTATGTTATCTAGGTGATGATAGTCCAGTGGGGGGGGGGGGGGCATTCAGCTGTAATAGTAGTTATGTTATCTAGGTGGTGATAGTCCAGTGGGGGGGGGCGAGCCATTCAGCTGTGATAGTAGTTATGTTATCTAGGTGATGATAGTCCAGTGGGGGGGGCGAGCCATTCAGCTGTGATAGTAGTTATGTTATCTAGGTGGTGATAGTCCAGTGGGGGGGGGGGCGAGCCATTCAGCTGTGATAGTAGTTATGTTATCTAGGTGGTGATAGTCCAGTGGGGGGGGGCGAGCCATTCAGCTGTGATAGTAGTTATGTTATCTAGGTGGTGATAGTCCAGTGGGGGGGGCGAGCTATTCAGCTGTGATAGTAGTTATGTTATCTAGGTGATGATAGTCCAGTGGGGGGGGACAGCTATTCAGCTGTGATAGTAGTTATGTTATCTAGGTGGTGATAGTCCAGTGGGGGGGGGCGAGCCATTCAGCTGTGATAGTAGTTATGTTATCTAGGTGGTGATAGTCCAGTGGGGGGGGCGAGCCATTCAGCTGTGATAGTAGTTATGTTATCTAGGTGGTGATAGTCCAGTGGGGGGGGGGCGAGCCATTCAGCTGTGATAGTAGTTATGTTATCTAGGTGGTGATAGTCCAGTGGGGGGGGGCGAGCCATTCAGCTGTGATAGTAGTTATGTTATCTAGGTGATGATAGTCCAGTGGGGGGGCAAGCCATTCAGCTGTGATAGTAGTTATGTTATCTAGGTGGTGATAGTCCAGTGGGGGGGGGGCGAGCCATTCAGCTGTGATAGTAGTTATGTTATCTAGGTGGTGATAGTCCAGTGGGGGGGGGCGAGCCATTCAGCTGTGATAGTAGTTATGTTATCTAGGTGATGATAGTCCAGTGGGGGGGGGGGGGGGGCATTCAGCTGTGATAGTAGTTATGTTATCTAGGTGGTGATAGTCCAGTGGGGGGGGGGGCGAGCCATTCAGCTGTGATAGTAGTTATGTTATCTAGGTGGTGATAGTCCAGTGGGGGGGGGGCGAGCCATTCAGCTGTGATAGTAGTTATGTTATCTAGGTGGTGATAGTCCAGTGGGGGGGGTGAGCCATTCAGCTGTGATAGTAGTTATGTTATCTAGGTGGTGATAGTCCAGTGGGGGGGGCGAGCTATTCAGCTGTGATAGTAGTTATGTTATCTAGGTGGTGATAGTCCAGTGGGGGGGCGAGCTATTCAGCTGTGATAGTAGTTCTGTTATCTAGGTGGTGATAGTCCAGTGGGGGGGCGAGCCATTCAGCTGTGATAGTAGTTATGTTATCTAGGTGGTGATAGTCCAGTGGGTGGGCGAGACATTCAGCTGTGATAGTAGTTATGTTATCTAGGTGATGATAGTCCAGTGGGGGGGTGCGAGCCATTCAGCTGTGATAGTAGTTATGTTATCTAGGTGGTGATAGTCCAGTGGGGGGGGGGGGGGCATTCAGCTGTAATAGTAGTTATGTTATCTAGGTGGTGATAGTCCAGTGGGGGGGGCGAGCCATTCAGCTGTGATAGTAGTTATGTTATCTAGGTGATGATAGTCCAGTGGGGGGGGCGAGCCATTCAGCTGTGATAGTAGTTATGTTATCTAGGTGGTGATAGTCCAGTGGGGGGGCGAGCTATTCAGCTGTGATAGTAGTTCTGTTATCTAGGTGGTGATAGTCCAGTGGGGGGGCGAGCCATTCAGCTGTGATAGTAGTTATGTTATCTAGGTGGTGATAGTCCAGTGGGGGGGGCGAGCCATTCAGCTGTGATAGTAGTTATGTTATCTAGGTGATGATAGTCCAGTGGGGGGGGCGAGCCATTCAGCTGTGATAGTAGTTATGTTATCTAGGTGGTGATAGTCCAGTGGGGGGGGCGAGCCATTCAGCTGTGATAGTAGTTATGTTATCTAGGTGGTGATAGTCCAGTGGGGGGGCGAGACATTCAGCTGTGATAGTAGTTATGTTATCTAGGTGGTGATAGTCCAGTGGGGGGGCGAGCCATTCAGCTGTGATAGTAGTTCTGTTATCTAGGTGATGATAGTCCAGTGGGGGGGCGAGCCATTCAGCTGTGATAGTAGTTATGTTATCTAGGTGGTGATAGTCCAGTGGGGGGGCGAGCCATTCAGCTGTGATAGTAGATATGGTACACTAGTATGTGGACACCCCTTCAAAATTAGTGGATTTGGCTATTTCAGCCACACCCGTTTCTGACAGGTGTATAAAATCGAGCACACAGCCATACAATCTCTATAGACAAACATTAGCAGTAGAATGGTTTTACTGAAGAGCTCAGTGAACTTGAGCGGGGGCACCGTCATAGGATGCCACAAGTCAGTTCCTCAAATCCCTGCTAGAGCTGCCCTGGTCAACTGGAAGTGCTGTCATTGTGAAGTGGTAGACCACACAAGCTCACAGAACGGGACCGCCAAGTGCTGAAGCGCATGAAAATAGTCTGTCAGTGGTTGCAACACTCACTACCGAGTTCCAAACTGCCTCTGGAAGCAATGTCAGCAAAATAACTGTTAGTCGGGAGCTTCATAAAATGGGTTTCCATGGCCGAGCAGCCGCACACAAGCCTAAGATCACCATGCGCAATGCCAAGCGATGGCTGGAGTGGTGTAAAATTCGCCGCCATTGGACTCTGGAGCAGTGGAAACGCGTTCTCTGGAGTGATGAATCACGCTTCACCATCTGACAATCCGACGGACTAATCTGGGTTTGGCGGATGCCAGGAGAACGCTATCTGCCCGAATGCATAGTGCCAACTGTAAAGTTTGGTGGAGGAGGAATAATGGTCTGGGGCTGTTTTTCATGGTTCGGGCCCCTTAGTTCCAGTGAAGGGAAATCTTAACACTACAGCATACAATGACATTCTAGACGATTCTGTGCTTCCAACTGTTGCAACAATTTGGGGAAGGCCCTTTCCTGTTTCAGCATGACAATGCCCCCGTGCACAAAGCGAGGTCCATACAGAAATGGTTTGTCGAGATCGGTGTGGAAGAACTTGACTGGCCTGCACAGAGCCCTGACCTCAACCCCATCGAACACCTTTGGGATGAATTGGAACGGCGACTGCGAGCCAGGCCTAATCGCCCAACATCAGTGCCCGACCTCACTAATGCTCTTGTGGCTGAATGGAAGCAAGTCCCTGCAGCAATGTTCCAACATCTAGTGGAAAGCCTTCCCAGAAGAGTGGAGGCTGTTATAGCAGCAAAGGGGGGGGACCAACTCCATATTAATGCCCATGATTTTGGAATGAGATGTTGTCCACATACTTTTGGTCATGTAGTTATGTTATTTTATCTAGGTGGTGATAGTCCAGTGGGGAGGCAAGCCATTCAGCTGTGCTCCTCTCAACGTGGAACAGTGGCTCTGGTGCCTGTTCGTTGGAGTGGGCGAGTTACTCTGGGGACAGGTCAGTGTGTGTGTGTGTGTGTGTGTGTGTGTGTGTGTGTGTGTGTGTGTGTGCGCGTTAGTGTTGCGCGGGTCAGCTGTTTGCTAATAACCCATCCGCAACCACCTGACTATAGGCTATGTGATAAAGTAAAAATCTGGGGCCCGCACCCGACCCTAACCCGCTAATATAGATAATGCGCTCATAGATTATTTTTTTGACAGGACTTTTATGTTTCTGCTTATAATTTCTGACATTTTGTTAGTCAGCTTCTCTTCTGTCATTAGCCCTAGAATACTAAATAAACCTCAGCAGAATGTCATAAAAGATATCTATAGAACGCTTCAATCTAGTTGATTTAGTTAGTTCTACTCTGTCATCTCTGCTTCTCTCGCGCAGCAAATATGTTTAGGGACCAAGGAGAAAATGCAATAAACCCCCCAAAAAACGGTCTAGAATTTCGTTGCAGAACTTCTTCTAAATGACATCAGTTTGAACGGTTTTAAGAAAATTAAAAGCTGTTCAAACGACTCATGTTTTTGATAAGATTTCAGTTCGGCTTGGATGCATATTTATGTGGTTGAAATACTGTCAGCTTTTAAGATGCTGATAAAGAGATAGATGGGAGGTATAGAGTAGAGTTGCACCTTTACAGACGGTCCCTAACTGCGCATTCATTCTCTCCAGCTGCTGAAATAAAGAAATCGGTATTTCTCCACTCCTGTTCCTGAGTCAATTTACATTTCGCAAATTATTTTACTGCAAGAAATGCTTAATTCTGCAGGAGTTAATATTATATTAGACTATGTGAGAGGTTATTGACCAACAGTCAGTGTCCAGATTACAGTTAGATAACCCATCTGAACAGTATAGTTCCCTTGTTGTAGTTGCCATTTTGAAGTCCCTGTCTTGTGACTGTCTAATTTGTACAGTGCCTCACATCATCACACATATCACAGCAGCACTGATATCATCATCACACATATCACAGCAGCACTGATATCATCATCACACATATCACAGCAGCACTGATATCATCATCACACATATCACAGCAGCACTGATATCATCATCACACATATCACAGCAGCCTATTTTACCACTTCACCAACTCTTTCCCAAAACATTACTTTTCCCAAAACATTACATTTCCAAAACAAAGTGGAACGGCGTTAACTATTTCTGCCCAAGTTCCCAAAAGCATTTGGTGATTGTCATGTATTTGGCCCTATAGCTGAAGCACTAACACCAGATACCATGAAAGAAGCCTATAGATATGAATTATACATTGACGCCCTTCATCCACACATATTTAATGACCCTAAACCCACCCGCGCCATGGATATAACCGTGGGGACTGCGGGTTATGGGTCAACCCGCGCAGCACTAGCGTGTGCATGTGGATGTGTGCTCGTGTGTAATGTATCATGTATGTATCATGTATGTATGAATAGTACTACCTTTCTCGTCTGACGACCGTCTCCGTGTGCATTGTCGGGGCGACAGGTGATCGCCACGGTTCCCAGCGACCGATTGCCGTGTCTGAAGGAGGCGGGGGCAGCGATGGCGGCGGTGGAGGAAGAGGAGGAGATGGAGGATGGAGACGAAGAGGGAGAGATACGACGAGGACAGATGCTGTGGTGTAGAGGACTCAACCGCATACAGACACAGGTATCAGAACTCTAAATCACTCTCTCTTTCTCTACCCCTTTATCTGTACTCTCTCTTTAAAAGTACGGTAGCGTAGAAGTTTTAAACAGTTTTACTTCACTATTTAAAGCTGCAATATGTAACTTATTGGGCGTCCCGACCACATTCATATAGACATGTGAGTTATAGATCTGCCATTCTCATTGAAAGCCAGTCTAAGAAGCGGAAGATCTGTTCTACGTGCGCTATTTCTATGCTTCCTGTTAAGTTTAGCATCTTTTACATTCGGTTTTGTACACCAGCTGAAAATACAGTATTTTTGGTTATTAAAAAGACATTTCACAGCGGTTGAGGTGGTACAATGATTCTCTACACTATACTTGCTTGTTTTGTCACATAAACTGAAATTAGGCAAACTATTAGAATTTTAGCAACCAGGAAATGGCGGAGCGATTTCTGCATAGTGCATCTTTAAAGCAAAGCAGTTCCATATAGTCAAAGTTAAATGTAGTAAAATAATTAGTCTGATTACTTTAGACTACTATATCAACCATATTACACTGATCAAAAATATAAAACGCAACATGCAACAATTTCAAAGATTTTACTGAGTTACAGTTCATTTAAGGAAATCAGTCAATTTAAATAAATTCATTCAGCCCTAATCTATGGATTTCACATGACTGGGAATGCATATCTGTTGGTCACAGATACCTTTTAAAAAAAGGTAGCGGTGTGGATCAGAAAACCAGTCAGTATCTGGTGTGACCACCATTTGCCTTATGCAGCGCAACACATCTCCTTCCCATAGAGTTGATCAGGCTGTTGATTGTGGCCTGTGGAAGTTGTCCCACTCCTCTTCAATGGCTGTGCGAAGTTGCTGGATATCAGCGGGAACTGGAACACGCTGTTGTACACGTCAATCCAGAGCATCCCAAACATGCTCAATGGGTGACATGTCTGGTGAGTATGCAGGCCATGGAAGAACTGGGACATTTCAGCTTCCAGGAATTGTGTACAGATCCTTGCGATATGGGGCCGTGTATTATCATGCTGAAACATGAGGTGATGGCGGCGGATGAATGGCACAACAATGGGCCTCAGGACCTTGTCATGGTTTCTCTCTGCATTCAAATTGCCATCGATAAAATGCAATTGTGTTTATTGTCTGTAGCTTATGCCTGCCCGTACCATAACCCCACATCCACCATGGGGCACTCTGTTCAGAATGTTGACATCAGCAAACCGCTCGCCCACACGACGCCGTACACACCGGGATGAATCCGTGAAGAGCACACTCCTCCAGCGAGCCAGTGGCCATCGAAGGTGAGCATTTGCCCACATAAGTTGGCTACGACACCAAACTGCAGTCAGGTCAAGACCCTGGTGAGGACGACGAGCACGCAGATGAGCTTCCCTGAGACGGTTTCTGACAGAAATTCTTTGGTTGTGCAAACCCAGTTTCATCAGCTGTCCGGGTGGCTGGTCTCAGACGATCCCGCAGGTGAAGAAGCCGGATGTGGAGGCTAGCGTGGTTACACGTGGTCTGCGGTTGTGAGGATAGTTGGACGTGCTGCCAAATTCTCCAAAACGACGTTGGAGGCGACTTGGATTGTGGGGCAGTTAGATCACAATGTCAGGATGCTAGATGGTAATTGAATAAAAATAGAATTCTGAATCAATCATATCAATCAATAAATGCACAATTTACTATGTAAAATATTCAGTGTAAATGAAGTTTGATTTTAGTTGAATGATGATATAATGATTAGAAAGTTGTAGGCTATTATTTGGGGAGAGAAATATGATGGTGCATCTAGTCATGACAGCTTGTGGTAGTTGAAGAACTATGTAGAATAGGTTTGTATGTGGACCTACTGATAGCTAGCTGTGGTTCTATCTAATAAATAAACTCTTTAGGATAAAAGTACATTTCCTGAAGAAAGTGTGCTGTGTTTGCTAGCTGGTTTTAAAGTGTGTATGGTTTTGAAATACGTTAAAGTGGTGGTAGTGTCTGCAGTATTAATGGTGGTGACTGGTTATAGTTGAGAAAGTAGGTAGATGAAGTTAGAATAGCCTGAGTTGGTTTGGTGTCTCTAGCTTGAACGGTTCAAGAGTTACAATTATTGTTGGTGGGTATTATATGCAAATGTATGCACATTTAAGTAGTTGTAATTTATAGTGCAGACCATTGCTAGACCAGAGCTAGCTAGCTACGCCCAGGACCAGAGCTGGACCAGAGCCTGTGTAGACCAAAGCAGTAGTTGTGGTCAGTAGTTGTGTGGTTGTAGTCAGTACTTGTAGTCTGTACTTTTGGTCAACAGTTGTGTTGTTGTGGTCACTAGTTGTGTGGTAAGTAGTGTTCATTAGTTGTGGTAAGTAGTTGTGTGGTTCATTAGTTGTGATAAGTAGTTGTGTGGTTTTGGTCAGTAATTATGGTTTAGTAGTTGTGGTCAGTAGTTGTGGTCTGTAGTGTTCAGTAGTTTTGTGGTTGTGGTCAGTTGTGTGGTTCAGTAGTTGTGTGGTCTGTATTTATTTGGTTGTGGTCTGTAATTGTGGTCAATAGTTGGGGTCAGCAGTGGTCAGTAGTTGTGATCAAGAGTTGTGTGGATTTGTTCTGTAGTCAGTAGTTGTGGTCATTAGTTGTGGTCATTAGTTGTGGTCAGTAGTTGTGGTCTGTAGTTGTGGTCAGTAGTGGTGATCAGTAGTTGTGGTCTGTAGTTGTGGTCAGTAGTTGTGGTCAGTAGTGGTGATCAGTAGTTGTGGTCTGTAGTTGTGGTCAGTAGTGGTGATCAGTAGTTGTGGTCTGTAGTTGTGGTCTGTAGTTGTGGTCTGTAGTTGTGGTCAGTAATTGTGGTCAGTACCCAGTCAACACGGGGGGTTCGGGCCTATTCCGTTTGAGACTCAGGGGACTCGGCATCGACTCAGAGGGCTTCATACGGACCGAGCTTTTCCCGAGTCCTGCAGAATCATATTACTCTGGGTTCTGGCTAATGGTACTAGGGCCGAGTCCACTTCAGCATATCTGGCCCGATTCACTTTTTCAGAAGTTTCAGTCCTTCGGCCCCAATCCTGGCATTATAAGGCCTATGGTGGTTAATTATAGGATGACTTGGGATCCACGACAGACAGCACATCTCAGTGTTATAGGCTATAGCCTCTTTTTCTATGGTTAGGCCTATCTCTAAACGCCGATACATCCTGACAAAATACACCATATGAGTGGCCGAATGTCATTTTCTGGACCTTGTAAACTGTCGAGAATAAACCCATAACTGATCCCAATGGTTGTATAAAGCAGGGCTTTATTTCGGCATGAAGCACAAAAGGACGTTTGAGCGGTTATTCAAATTAGCCAACATCACTGCAGTTTACAGCCTAGACAATAATTGTGTACTAACAATAATACATTCCTCATTGCACTGTGTTGTTGTAGCCTAGGATGTAGAATAATTATTTTCTAAAGACGTAGGCCTACTGATATCAATAGTGGAGCGTGCCCGGCGACCGCAGAGCGCAGCCTGTAGGAACGCATAGGCCAGTATCTTCCATTTGATAATCTGCTACCTTGGCTGAAGGAGTGATGCAGCCTACAACCATGCATGTTGAATTATTGCAATAGCCTATTAAACTGTTATAAATGTAGTCTATAGCCAATTAAACTGTTATAAATGTAGTCTATAGCCTATTAAACCGTTACATTACATTTACATTTTAGTCATTTAACAGACGCTCTTATCCAGAGCGACTTACAGTAGTGAGTCCATACATTTTCATGCTGTAGAGATACACCTAGTGGACAGAAACGTCCCTGTTGTAGGCATAATACAGCGCTGGCAAACAAATCCATTACATTAGCTACCTAAATGTGAAGTAAACTCAACTGAGTCATAGAGAATGGAGACCTTTAACTTGAAAATGTGCAGGATACATCTTTTCCGGTTTCTCTGACTTCTCCCTGACTTCTCCCTGACTTCTCCCTGACTTCTCCCTGACTTCTCCCTGACTTCCGGTTTTTATACTGTGTTATGTTTGTTCTCGTAGCACTCCTCACAGGCCGTTTGGTGTAAAAAAAAAAATTATGTTGGTGAGATGAAACTGCCAAAACTCTGAAAGGTATTATTGTACGTCAGAATTGAAATGTTAGTTCCTAATCGTAACACGGTGTTTGTATGTTCACAGATGACATGTCATGTTTTATGTTTCACGCATGGCTTTTCTTACGATCCTAACGATGCCTATATTCAATCTTTTGGCAGGTATCTCGCTCCATATATTCGGCTCTGCAAAAAGTAGAGTATGGCAATACTGCCCTCCTCTGTTTGTAAGTGAAACTACAGACAAATTCATAGCTCATGAATAAAACATATTACAGAACAAAATATGAATATTTATATGGCTGTACAGTGACTGACTAAAATGTGATTTTTATCAATTAGAACGTAGCCTAAGCATCCAGATCAAATGGAAATAAAAACACAGCATTATGGAAAAATCCTGTGGGTCTGCTGCAAATTGATAATTTGTTAGGCCAAGGACTACCAAAGATGATAATAATTAATCCCTTTAATCTGTGTGACTACTGTCACCTCAATCAGGCTGAGGCTAATCAGAGGCCCTTTATCTACTTCACTAGAGGCAGATGAACTCGAGGATGTCTCTGCGTGCAGTTTGAAGGAAGTTGCTAACTAGCGCTAGCACAATTGCTAACTAGCATAGACTTCCAGTCATTGCGCTAACGCTAGTTAGCATTGGCTCGCGAAACTACACTACCGTTCAAAAGTTTGGGGCCACCCAGAAATGTCCCTGCCCTCGAAAGAAAAGCAACTTCCCCGTCCATCAAAACAACATCAAACTGATCAGAAACACAGTGTAGACGCTGCCAATGCCGCAAATTCCTACTGCAGCTGGAAACGGCCGATCCTCAATGGAGTATCTACATAGGCTCACAGAGGCCCATTATCAGCAACCATCAGTCCTGTGTTCCAATGGCACGTTGTGTTTGCTAATCCAAGTTTATCATTTTAAAAGGC